GACTCTCTCTCTCTCTCTCTCTCTCTCTCTCTCTCTCTCTCAAATTACCTTGAATGGTATCGAACTCTAGAAGTTGAATGGTAACGTGGAGAACGAGAACGGGACAAGGAACGAGAGCGTGAGTAACCTACAGCCAAAATCTGATGATCAATAATTCATTATACACATCTGGAACATTATATAGATCAAATCATATACCAGAGTTAATCTGCCCGTGGAGAACAAAAAAAGATCAGAGAGCAAGCAGCACAAAAATAATCAGCAAATTCTTTAAACATAACATAATTGACAAGTTCAATAATGAAAACCCAAAGGATATCTCATGTTCTGTGAAAAATACAGAGCTAGGCTTTCACAGCCAATAATAACAATTTAAAATGTTCACCGAACAAATAAAATAGAACTCAACCATATCCAGGCCAAGGAATCATTTCTTAAATATGAATGATCCGAAGACTCAGATTCTCTCTAGAAACCTTCCCAGAGAACTCTCACCAAAAATAAATAAATGAATAACAAAGCACATAAATAAATAAATTTAGGACCAACCACCAGAGAAGCTAGAAGTTTAATGACTGTTTGCTTGAAACGTGCACCAAACCCTCAACACCACAACTTCGGTCTCTGAATTTTACCACCCACATAGGGATGCAGACTAATTTTTCTTAATGAGTACAGAACTCACTCTTTGTTGATCACTTACTGCTCTTAATGAGTACAGAACTCACTCTTTGTTGATCAGTTACTGCTCTTAATGAGTACAGAACTCACTCTTTGTTGATCACTTACTGCTCTTAATGAGTACAGAACTCACTCTTTGTTGATCACTTACTGCTCTTAATGAGTACAGAACTCACTCTTCAAGACCCCATACAAAAACAGCTCTAAGTTTTTGAAACTGCCATTATTTGTCAAGAAAATCTGTAGTAGAAGAAACCACCCAGGGTCTAACCACCTAATGTCACCTCTCCCATGATCCAAAAGGCATTAATGTTGACAGTCCAAGGTTACCCCATCTGTCCAAACCAACAATTTTGACAAGTCAAGCCTTGGGGGTAATAAGCACGGGATTAACTTCATCTTTCTTTCATAATTGTGTGCTACATTGATTTCATGGGATAAAACACTCTACAAGGGAATTAAATTTTACCCTTCATTACTACGTGGTTCATAGACGATCAATGTGAATCAGAATTTATGCCGGTAGCTCCCTGTATCAAAGAATTAGCGTTTATCTTTATTTCAAAAATATGCGGATGACTTCGTGGGGATCAGACACTATCGTAGGGATGACTCTGGACAACTGTCTGATGAGACTCGATGTGGATGATTGATGACACTGTGATTTGGTTGACAGTGGTTAACAACATTCAATACCAATATTTGATAAAGTTATTTGTGCTGAAAATGAGTAATCCAAAAAATAAAACCCATCTAGAGAAAACCATCAAAGCAACTATTGGCAAGAGAAAAGGATTGGGAGGGGGGGGCGGAAATGGAAACTGCCAACACCAGGGAACCCAAACAGGGGTTCCCAATTCCCAGGCCACCAGTTTCATTTCCCCCCAGTTTCCAGGCCTCCTAGTTTCCTCGAGAAACTGCCAACACCAGGGAACCCACCAGTTTCATTTTCCCCCAATTTCCAGGCCTCCTGGTTTCTTAGGGATTCTAGGGGAAACTATAATACGTATTTGTGAAATGCCCCAAGAAAGCATTTGAGGAACTTCAACTGTATGATATTCTGTTCCATCAAGGGCACAATCATTTCAGGAAAGAATTCAAAATAGTTTTGGGAGGGGTAATCAGACTTTGTTTTAGTACGACTATTGGTGTGGAGAAACATATCCAAGAACAATTTGCTCACTCTTTAATTGGGTGGCTCTAGCACAAGAGCTGAGCGTTACTAGATCTTATGAAAGTGTCACTGAGAAAGTTGAGTGGGCCCAAGCCCTTCAAAGAAACTTCAATCATTTAGAAACTGAGAACTATGTGCACTCTTGGACAGTTTGAACTAAACTCATGTACCCAAATATGGCTTTGGCAACTAATGTGGCGATATGACTTAAAAGGGGATTTTGCAGCACAATCATAACCCTGCGCCTTATCCCAAGAGGTATGGGCCCCTCAAAGGATACTTGGTGTGGGATCTTAGCACCCTTCATAAAATGTCATGCTTTGGATGTTTAGTAATCTTAAAGAAAGCTCCCAAGTCAAAACTCTCATGGGGAATCACTTCAAGCACAGTAAATTATTCCCCATATTTGTATCAGTTGCCGTGAAGATTAAGAGTCAGTGAACCACTTATTTATTCATTGCTCCTCTGGTATGATTGTTTGACTTTATATATTGTATTGCTTTGACATTTAATTAGAATTTCCAAAATCAATTACAGAGGTGTTATCGAGCTGGAGGTTTGGTCCTTTCTCACAAAAGGGACTATATGGAAACATAGCTTTGTTGTTGTCCTATAAGCTATATGGTTGTAACAATGGAAGGATTTTTTAGCGTAAGCATTCTTAGGCCACAATAGTAGGGGACCAAGTTAGGAACATGATTATTTCATGGGCCTTATCTAGAAAAGAATTCCAAGTCTCCTGCATTGGATTTGGTGAGAGGATGAAATGAAATGGTGAATAGCATAAAGCAGCACCATATGCATGTCTCATGGAGCAAACCTCCAATTGGGGTTCTCAAGCTTAAATTTCAATAGGACCTCATTAGGCACTCCAGACCCCTTGGGAATACAGGGAGCAATTAGAGGCCATTTGGAAGAGACTTTGGATACCTAAACAAAGCCAGCTGGGAGTGGAGATGCTAATAAGGTCAAAGCTCTGGCATTTCCATGGGATTGTGCATATTCCTCCAGCCTTCATGGGGTCCGCTACTAGTTGATGGTGATTCCTTAATTCCTTAAATGTGAAAGTACTCCACCATCATGATTAGCAGACACGTTGGATGACATATAAGACATGCATTAAAATCAGCTAGTGAGTTTTCAGAATGTCCCGAGATTGGCTAATGACCTCTTTGACAAATTAGCTCTCACAAGAAGTTGTGGAAGGGACTTTTCATGGATCCTGGTCCCCCACCAATTTGTTGTTTTCCTAACAGTATCACTCTTTCACTCGCTACTGCTGACATATCAATCTGTATACTCCATATTAAGCAAAAGCACAGTAGCATCACCACTATAATCCTCAGTACCCTCTTGCAAATGTCTATGCATTTCCATTACAAGAAATAAATCATTTCTCTGGTCCCTTCTCCCTTCAATGGCAATCCTCTTGTAACAATCTATCCACCACTAAGTTATGAACCTTGACAATGGTTATTGTTAAAGTCCTTGCATGGAAAAATCAGTACATTAGAAACCAAGGTATCCACTTCAATTTTCCAATCACTGACACTCAAGTTTGAAGTCCATAAATGGAAATAAGAGGTCATCAGATAGCAATCTAAATTCCAACCATGAAAGGGTATTCAACACACTGAAGATATCGTGGCTCCATAATGCAACATGATCATGCAACATGATCATGATATACTTTCAAACCTTGTCCCAATTGACATCAAAGTTCGAAGCACTACAAGAATATATCCTACAGTGGGTAACACAGACTGCTAGTTATAGGGCATCTACTGATTTGCAGGATATCCACCTTGCTATTGTACAACTTCTCACTAGAGAAGATATTTTCGATCATAATAGCAATCAGAAATGGACATTCACGTTGATTTTTATTTACTCACCGATAAAAAAATTATGTACGCAGTAGCACCACTCAAAATTACACGGCACCAGGTATGGCCAATAAAGGACCAGATTATTGGAAGGATACCTGGAATCACCCAAAAAGGTA